CCCGGTTTGACCCTTTCCAGGATGAATCTGTTTGTTTTCCCGGCAGTCCATGGTACCGTCAATACTCTTCTCCAGCACCATGGCTTAAAGGCATCACTTGTATAGCACTTGTATAACTTTTCATAATTTCTCCACAGTTGTAGTGTTTCCAGAACACTTATATAAATTTCATTTCTCCATGTTCCTCGAGTTTCCGGAGGCAAGCTATTTTGGAAGTGAATGCCACTCCTGCTTCCAAGCCTGCTTTAATTTGAGAGCTCCACCAAACACTGTCTAAATGTAAGGTCCTTGATGATACAATGGTTAAGTGCTTTTCCACTAATTGTAAGGTCTGTGGTTTGAACCCAGCAGTTACTCTGTAGCGAGAAAAAAGCAGTCAGCTCCCATGAACGTTGTTGTTGTTGTTTTTATGTGTCATCGAGTTGCTTGAGACTCCTAATGACCCTATTTATAACAACTCTGAACCCTGCTCTTTCCTGTTCCAACATTATTGTCTGAAAAGAAATCTTAGGTATCACAGGGTCCCCATGAGTCAAAAGCGTGAGGATGGTGTAGAATGGGACAAGGTTGAGGTCTTCTGGTCACGGGGTCACTGTGAGCTGTACTTGACTAGACGATGGCATTTAACCACCACCACCACTAGTCAGACTAGAAAGCACTGGTGGCCTAGTGGCAAGAAGCTGTACTGCAATCCCGATAACACGTAGTTCAAATCCACCGGCTCCTTTGCAGGCTCCTCCTGTGTGATTAACCGCCTCTGAAAACACGCCAGAGGGTCAGCCATGGGTCGGTTCTGACTCAGTGATGTACAGCAACCAGAACTAGTCTGAATAGATTTCATAGACTATTTGGGGATTTCTTTTTTTTTTTTAATCCAAAAGCACGAGTCCTGTGATGTAGTACTTAAGAACTTGGTTGGTAATGGAATTGTTAACAGTTTGAACCTGCCAGTCTCTCCATAGGAGAGAAGACCTGGCTGGCTGCTCCTGTGAAGATTCAGAAAACTCAAACCCCACTGCTGTTGAATCCGAACTGACTCATCACTCCTTCCGCGGCTTTCTGAGGCTGTAAATCACATAGGGAGAGATTGCCCATCTTCTGTCTCAGAACTGCCGGTGGATTTGAGTTAGCTTCACAGCTGCCTGTGGGCTAGACCCCCAGGTTACAACCTAGGAAACCCTGTGGGATGGTTTGCATCTGTCCTACAGGATGGCTTTGAGTCAGACGTAACTGGACTATGAGAGGTTTGATTTTTGCTTAGACCTGGGGAGGAACGTGCAGACACACACAGATGGGGGAGCAATGCCCTGTTGGGGATCACAGAGGAACCAGGACATCACGGGTTCCAGCACAGGGAACCTTATCTCCGAGTCAGCACCCTGAACCTGGATGTCTGGCCTTCTGGACTGTGAGAACATAGTTCAGATGTGTTAGTTCTTCGAAAGTGCTCACAAGTGGGCTTTCTGCTGAAGCCGTCCATCAAGGTTGTGACCCATGGTGACCCTTCATTGTTACACCCCCAGTGCTAACTGAAGACTTTCCTCTCCTGG